TTTGTGAAACAGTTGTTTCAGTAATAAACATATAAATGTTGAGTCATTTTGTAAAATTTACTTCTCTTCATGGGTAAGGTCAAAAAATTCCAGATGGATAGTACAAATACCAGTGGCAGCTTTTCATTTAAAGATGAATGTGATTGGATCAAGTCAAGTTTAAGGGGTCAGAGCAGTATATACAAATACTATCCACAAGAGTATGAGTGTGAACAACCTTCACTGGAAACATTTTACCAATATATTTCAATACATTCTCAAAAGGAGTAAGTAATTCCACTTTTTGCAAATCTTTATTAAACAACATTTTAATCCCAGTATTATTTATGAAAGTGGAAAATTGGAAATGTCTAAATGTTCAACTTAAAGAGAATAGATAAATTATTGCATACTCTATACCCACTCTTTTAAATTTACCTTACAGGAATGGAATCTCATTTCATAAAGGAGCTACAACCATGCTCAGAAATTACTTTGGGGCTGGAGATATACCTCAGTGATATGTCACAAGAGAGCAGGGAACTGAAACTCCAAACCTCAGTTCTTAAGTTCTGACAAAAGAAAAATTTAAAGTCAGACACCAAAAGCCATGCAAGAGAACTTACTATAAGTGAGGTGAAAATAAAGTACAAGAAAAGTGAGGCTTAAGCAAAGAGCACTCAAAGAATGGATGATCTCTGTGCAAAGAATAACAAGGGAGACAATGCTGTCCTCCAGTTTTATTACTGTTTGATGTTTACCAGAACTAGTGACCACCTTCGTACTCATTGCAATCAGGTGTTCAACTCCTCCTTCACATTGGGTGGCAGGCGGCAGAGTTTTTGACCTTAATTGGTTCTCTCTGGAACTGTGATGGTGACCATCCTATTTAGAGGGGCTTCATCTGCAAATCAATCCCATGTTAATGAGGGCACTGAGGTCAATAGCTGGTCAGAAGTTACCTCAGTAGGCCTGTGCTACTAAAGGAATCTTCCTTCCCAGACAATTGGAGACACTAATAGACATAATTCCTAACTTCACATCAACCTCAGTGGACTCTGTCAAGAGTCCTTTCCTCTTGATGTGATTTTCAACTAGCTCCCTTGCTTCTGTTTATTGTCTACAAATTAACTATCACCCTTTGCTTTCTGGTCTACTTTGGAATTAGTTTAAAGCAGACCCTAAAGTAATTTAAAGAACACTTGTGACCTTGCCTGCATTTTACTGCTCATTGCTAGCTACCACCTAACAGTAGGGTGCTTGCCAAGTACAGGTGAGACCCTGGGTTCAATCCCAGCACCACCACCACCACCAAAAAAAAAAAAAACCTACAGTGGGTTTTCTTTCTTTTTTTCGTCCATTGATTTCACTGATTTGTTTACTCTTTGACCATCCACTCTCTGACCTCCTAGGAGGTTTCTGACAAAGTGTCTTTGCCTCCATGTGTCATCTAGACTATTGATTATAGAACTCTAGTTTTCTGATCATCTGCTCATTTTAGACTTCTGCCTCTTAAAACAGTCAATTTTAGGCAGACCACACCCATCACCTCCTGTCTTCACTCCCTCCCATCATTGGACGTGTCTTTCTACTGGGCCCACCACCCAGTGAGCCTTCACCCATTATAAAGAAATTCAGGCAGAGGAGAGATATCCACATAGTGAAATCCTGTGCAGCCACTAAAATTTATCTTCACTAACCATTTTAACGGGGAACTGTTTACACTGGAATTGTGATTTGGTCAAAAGCAAAGACCTAGGCCTCAATGGAAATAAACGGATTGAGGAAGGTGATCTGAGTCCAAGACGGCTCCCTTCTCTGCTAAGCAATGTGTGAAAGCAAAAGAAAGAGTTCTTTCTTAATAAATTCAGTATGGTTAGTTCAAAGGAATACGGCCAGAGTTGAAAAGTATCATTCAGAGTAGATTTGGGAGATGCTTAAAAAGAAAACAAATCTTCTAGATGTAGAACTTGCTGAAATTTCAACTCTCCTAGGAAGGAAAGAGCAAAAGCCAGGATGAAAGACCTCTGCTCTTTACCTCATCCCTGCACCCAGGGACTGGAGGGATCCTCATTACCCATCACCTTTGTTACCAGGACCACCAACAAAAAGAACAGCCTTGACCCTGAAATGTTGGGTAAAGAATTATTTGCAAACTAAAAGAGAGAAAACTTCAATGCCCACCAGTACATGAGAAGAGCAAGAAAATGAAGCTGAGCAAGTACAAGAAAAACCAGAGGTGGAGGAGACATTCACCCAGCCCTGCCCTGCCCAGGGGGAGCAGCTGCTTCTCAGCTCCCAGCAGCTGCTGTTCCACAGGAATGTGGGCCCGGCATTGTCAGATCTCAATGTTCTTTCAAAAGAGGCTAGAAATACAGGTTTTCATATGAAAAATAGGCATAAATACACTCACACTACACCAAAGGGGGAATAGCTGTTATTTTGGGGTGGTGAAATTGGGAGTCATTTTCCTTTTTATTTTTACACTTAACTAGAGGCTTTTGAATTTTAACTGCGAACATGACATTACTTTTATAATCAGAGAAAAGATAATGCTGCTTATTAAATATTTTAAAATGAATTAACTAAACAGGGCATTAAAATAAGGATCAAACAACAAATGCTACAGGAACAATCTCCAGATGTATGCTAACATGTGACTTGATTTTATGTTTTGTGATTAAAGTTTGCAATATATACCAACTATAGCAACATGCCAAGCCTCAGGCCTCCTGATTCTAGGTTGGTGGTCACTATGTGGAGGTATCGTTTCCACATCAGGATTTATAAAAACAAATTTTTCCATGGTATTATCATCATTTCTGTTTAATTAAGAATTTAGGTCAGTTTCTATAATGTGTCCTGACTCTGGCTAGATGTTGGGAAAAAAGAAGAACAGTCCATGCTTCCTGCAAACTAATTACAAGATGGTCTAGATAGGGTACTTTGGAGTATCAAGTGAGTTAAAATTTGTAAAGCACTTTAGATAGATGCTTGGCACAAAGCAGGCCCCAAATGAACATTATAGTTCTCTTTTGGTATTGACTTTGTTAACATTATTGTTATTATTCAAGAAGCAGCAGTTAAGAATGAAGGAAATGATCAAGCAAAAGATGGAGAAGGAAAAGAAAATCCTTGGAAATAGAACAAGTGGGAACAAGAAGAGAGGAAGAGGTGATTTAAAGGAAAAGGTGGGGGGCATTGAGCACAGTAGATGTCACAAAGGATGATTCTAATAAAGTGTCATTCTGAATGTAAAGCCTTATGTAAAGTTAAGAGGGTTGTCTTTAGAAGGGAGTTGAGAAGGACAGAGGGATGCCATGTGCCAAAACAAACTCCCACTTCCTCATCAGCTCAGTGTCAGACCTGGCCACACACATTCAACAGACTTGGTGGACAAAGCACCTCTGCACCGCTTCTGTGAAGCATGGGGTTAAGCACTAAAGCTCGCATGCATTTTCTCCTTGCAGAGCCCTCTGTACCCAGGAGATTTCTGTGATTGACACCAGAGGACCTTGGCTCAAAGTTAATGATTTTGTTCCTTTTGAATTCCTGTGAGATTGTATTTCTTTGGGTTCCAGGAGTTCAGTGGGACCTCTGTAGTGATTTTAGTCCAGGAACACTTGCTGTGATAAAAAGAAACTACAGGGAAGTCTTGCTGCTTGTCTGCCTGGTGCTGTTTCCCAATGCAATTGTGAATATGTGCTTTCAGAGAATGCAGGAAGAGATTCTATTTCCAGGGCCTGGTCATGAGACTTCTGTCTAAAAAACTGAGAGGTCAGAATCTTGTGCTATGCACACATGTTCCCTACCTGGAAGCAACCCTTTCAGGCTAGAGTCACGCGGACTCTAAAATGATGTTTGCATAGACAAAAGTGTGATTATCAACTTGCTCTGACTTCTCAATGATTACACAACAGGCCACCAGTTGATAAACAGCTTTATCGTTAGATATACTTCAGCATTCAACTATGCCATCATTTCATTTTTTGTGTTGAACTGGTGTTTTGTTTTCTTGCTCTCTTTCCCCAATCACTCCCTTCCCTCACTGAAGTAAGAAACCAGGGTAGGAAAGTAAATACCTGCTCAAACTGATAATGAATTATTAAAATTTCTGCTTCACCATAGAAAACCAGATTCTGGCACTATTACCTATGTTGGCCCAGAAATGCGATTTTTAATCTCCCTGGCCCCAAAGAAATCACAGAAGTCTCCCTTTTGCTTTGTAGCTTCCGACAGGGGCCCAGATTCTATCTGTGTCAATGATATTCTGGATGTAGGAGCTCTCAGTGCCTTGGGCCAGGCAGAGGCACAAGAAAACTTTGGACTGAGACATTAAACTCCCAAAGAATCTCGAACTATAATGCAGTTGTTAAAAAAAAAAAAATCTCAAACCAAAATTAAGTTTAATCTCCTGTAATTAAATGCCTTTTAGCACTTTGTGGAGATAAATTAAAATTTTGTTACAAAATCAAAAAGCAAGTGATTCTCTCATTTCCCTTTTTGTTATCAGTTTCCTGCTGACCTACTTTTAAATTGTCCAGCAAAATGTGGCCTCCCCCACTTTCCCTCCTGGCCAGGGCTCTTCCTGACCTCTGTGCCTCTTCTCACTTCTGGTTCTTTGGTCTTCCCCAAGCTCCTCTTTCTCCTCATGCCCTTCTATGGAGTTTCAGAGCTGGGCTTGACCTTCTCTTTCCTGTACCATCAATGGGTTACCCCATTCTCAGGGCTCCCTTGTGAATCTCTAACCAGGACCTTTCACCGACTCTCCAATTCCCTACATCTAGGAGGACCATTCACCCCCCTTTGCTGGGACAGCCTCAATGTATTTCTGTTGCTCCAGCTTAATTCTTAATAGTGCCCACTCCTACTCTCTGAGGGGTCTCAGGCAATATACTATGTAGTTTTCCTATTTAAGTGTAGGACATCCCCTGAATATTTACTGAACTCAATATTTCCTGGCTTTACTTCTTTTTCTGCAATACTGGCCTTCTTTCCAGCATTCTCATTTCTATTGACAGGTCTGCTGCTCTTCCATTCTCCAGAGGCTAGAAGCTGTGACATCTGGCTGCCCTCTTCCTCCCATCTCATCTTATCCACACAGAATGGTGGTGAGAGCCAGGACCAGAGGAACTGGACACAACTCCTGACTGTCGCTGACCAGCTCTGGGCCCTCCTTCAACGGGTTTCTCTGTGCCTCAGTGGAGTCATTTATGAAGCAACGAGAACAAGATGTACCTCACTGGGACATTGTTAGGAATAAAAGCAACAGCTGCTCAGAGCCCACTGGGCACTGGTCTCAACATAGCCATTCCCATCACTTTTTATTCACATATTCATTTGACACATTATTGAGTACCAACTATATGTCAGGTACTGTTCTAGGTCCTGGAGGCACATCCATGTGCAAGACTGGAAAACATATGCCCCTAAGACTAACATCCTAGTGGAGAAATCATACAATGAACAGAGAGGTCATATGTCAGATAGAAATGAGGGCGGTGTAGAAAAGGCCCAGCAAGGGAAGGGAACAGAGAGTACCAAGGAGAAGAAGGCTTGCTATCTTTAAAGGGGTGGTTGAGGAAGATATCACTAATAAGATGACATTTGCGCAGAGATCCAGAGGAGATGAAGGAACGCCCTAGCAGATATTTACAGGAAGAATAGGTATAAGCCAGTTCCAAGAGGCAGGTCTGATGGGCCTGAGGAACAGCAAGGATGACAGTGTTGTGGAGTGCCAAGAACAATGGAAGTGTCCTGGCAGGATCCCAACAGTGCAGCTTGTCCTTGGGGTGAGGTGGGAGCTGGAGGGCTGCACAGAGGAGTGATGGTGTTGAGATAAGACTGCAAGGGGGTAAGGCCAGAGAGAGGGTAAAAGAAGGTTTCCAAGTCCAAGCAAGATGTGATGGTGGCCAGGACAGCACCAGTAGCAGTGGTTGGATGTAGACGTCTTCCTTTGAAGAGCATCTCAGATTTCCCACTGCATTTCCCTCTCACAGCCATAGTCCTGGCCTTGGCTTTCATCACCCAGCCCCTGAATTATTGTAACAGCCCTGTCACTGGGCTCACTGGACCATCTCTCTACCTATCACATTCATTCATCACTCCCCGATCAGAAAAATATGACAGTGCCCTGGCATCCCGCACATCCAAGCTCCTCTTCCTAATTCAGGTGTTCCGTTCCGCTGAGATTTACACATTCAGTGTTCTTTCCTACCATAAACCAATTTCTCCCAGTGTCACTCGGATCCAGCAGCAACTCAGTCTGGCTTTCTCAGCAACCAAGAGGTTTCCTATTCAACATGGCAATTTAGAATTAATAGGATGATTCTTTTAATTGGGTGTGTTAGCACCAGGTTTCCATTACAACAACAGATAATTACTGCGAACATTGATTCAATGCTTACTAAGTGCTGGACACTACTCTACAGAATTAGGAATGGTATCAACTCTAATCCATATAACACCCTTAAGAGGTGAGTCCCATTATCATCCCAACTTTGCAAGTAAAGAAACTGAGACACAAAAAGGTTACACTAGTGAGGAAAACCAGGAGTAGCTGAGATGGGGATTCAGAAGTTCCTGCTCCAGAGTCGGCCCTCTCAGCCACAATGTTCCATTTCTGCCAGTACTTGGACATTCTGCCTCAGGTGTCTTCATGTGAATCACTGAACTGTAAATTGCATGCACTGCAAGGTGCTCATTCCTGCCCTCAAGCCTTTTCTCCCCTTCCTTCCCATCCTCTCTGCCTTTCCAAATCATACCTAGATCTCAAGGTGTAATTCAACTTCCTGTTCTTCCATGAAACTTCTTTAAATACACAGCCCTTGCTGACCCTCCATTCCTTGGCAATTGGAAACTTACTGCAAATCCCCATGTTTCTTTATTTTTAATTCATTTTTTTCTTCCCAATTATATTGCAAAATGCTTATGGAGAACAACCATAAATTATATTGCTTTTTATGTTTCCACAGTATATAAAACAATCCTGGGTCATTCTGCTCAATAGACAATTAAAGATAAATCATTGGTGAGCTAGATCCTGGGTAGATCCTGGAGACACTAGGAAGTCAGTCCTCAAAATTACTTGTGGACTCATTGAGAGGATCCAGAGAAATGATTATTGAAACATATCCATTATAATTTATCTTTTTAATATAAATACCATCAATGACACCATTTTTATGCAAACTTATGATTTTCATGCCACTTCAGTATAAATCCTTTGAATACCTACTCCACACAGAGTGCTGAGCCAAATGCTTGGTCCAGGAAAGGAACATGACACAATTCCTACCAATTCCCAGGTTATGTTACCATGTGTCTTGGGGTCAAGATAGGAATAAAGAATTTAAAAGCCACTCAAATTTCCTTAGGTATAAGAAAGTACAGAACTCAACTGTCGAAGGAACAGCCAGTACTATGGGTGATTGGAATAGAGGATGACCAAAGAATGTAACTTCTCCATCACCACATTCTCTTCCTCTGCTTCTCTCATGTTGACAAACTTCTCTCTCCCTTCTTCCCCTCCCTTTTTCCATCAAACCCGCTCCCAGATTACCTCGATTTGCTCTCTTTCAGGTAACTCATCATGGCTTCCAAAAAAACAATACCTTCAGCCTTCAAACACCTACATGGTGACCTTCCAGGTTCAGCATCAGTGTCTAATAATTAGACTTTCTGTATTTAATCCCAAATGTCCAGCAAGAGAATATAATAGAACTACCACACGACAGGTTTCCATTCCTAACACAAACAGCTTTGGTTGAGGATTGGGTAAAGTGTGTTCAGCGTCATTATTGAAAGTGCATAGGGTGCAAGGGACCACTCTTCCTGGGGCAAGACTCAAAGGTGTGCAATGGTAACATCTATAGGATATAATGGAAAAAATGGCCCCAAAGTTGCTCTAAAATAAAGAAACCCCTCAGATTTGCATATTTCAGACTTCAAAGATTTGTGAAATTTTTAAAGTATAAGGACTTTAGAGATCATTAACACAATTCCCACACTTCAACCAAAGCCCAAGAGCAGGTGAGTGAGGAGCCCAGAGGAGGTGCCATACTCTTTGACTCCTAATTTACTCCAACACTTGACTAACCAGCATTGATTCAATGCTTACTAAGGGCTGGACACTAATCTACAGATTTAGGAACAGAATCATCTCTAATCCATATAACACCCCTAAGAGGTGAGCACTTTAAGAATACTTTTGACATGTAAGTGCCCTAGATAGTCCACACATAAGTGAAGTATGTGGGTTTGTTTTTCCTTTTTAACATAATTTCTGTACCTTTTGAGAACTTCCACAAGTATTATGCTACTAGCAAAGGGCTCAGGAAGCATGCCTTTGATATGCAGACTAACCAGCCCAGGCCCTGCCTCGTCTGCATGGCCTATAAACCCAGGAGACACTATTCCTCTGCCTTAATCACCCAGGGCCAGTTTCCAGACAAGGAACAGACAGCCATAGCCCAAAACCTGCTGGACTTATTCAGATTAGCCATTCCTACATGTTTCCTCTGCCCTGCCCTGCCCTGCCCTACCTTTCCCAGGGAAGCCCCAATAAAGACTCCAGCCTGTGTTTCCCCCTCACTCCTGTCCCTTTCTACCTCCAGATTCTAGTGCTTTCCAATATGGTCCTGCAGGATATGAAGTCACCATATGTCCTATTTCTACGCCTTCCAAGGACAACAAACTTTGTTTTCTTGAGCTCCTCCTGTATCACCTCTGTAGCCACATCTGGTTGCCCATCACATAAAAGGCAGAACACAATCACAAAAAGAGGGACTGGAAAAGCAGGCTGATGAAGGTCCCTTAGCAGTGCTAGAGGGATGAACGTGTCCAGTGGAGGAGTGGGGTGCTCAGGACAAGGACATAGCATCCTTGATCCCTGGCAAACACGACCTGCAGATGTTTCTCCCTCTGCATTCATGTCTCCTGCACGGCACATGGAATGACCGGGGCATTTCTTGGTGCATAGACCATTCCAGTCTGTGTGGAGGGGGAAGCCGGCTCCCATCTGTAAGGCTACTTTGTAGCAGCAATTCATTCTATCAAAGGCTTCCGTGGTACCTTTGATACACTGTCATCATCAGCCCCTTTGGGATCAATCTGGAAATGTGTTTAGCCTGGTGAAATTCTTCACAGTTCTCAACAACTTCAAATGCTTCTGAATATCTCAACCCTTGAACCCAAAAGGGGCAAGGCACAAATCCCAGACTGCTTCCAAACAGTGGTACTTCAAACAACTCTGCACAAGGCAATTCCTTAAAACATTCATGTTTCCACTGCCTATTGACTTTTTTTTTTTTTTTTTTTTTTTTTTTTTTTGTCGTGGTGGAGATTTATCATTCTTTAAAGTTTAATGCCAGATTCAAAATCAATTCTGTATTCTAGTTTCAGGAAATCCTGATAAGGTTTCTCAATAACACACAGAGGGATAGAGTGACCAGTCTTCTCAGTTTACCCAGGCCTGAAAGAGTTCCAGGGATGTGAGCTTTGCAGCTTTACAACCAGGAAAGAAAGCCCCTGGCAAATCAACAGAAGAAGGACACCCTAATCTAGAAACTATAGAAACTAGTTTACACACACACACACACACACACACACACACACACACTTTAAGAGACATTCTCATTAAACTTTAAGGGGTATCCTAGAACCAAAGATCTTGGCAACGCAGGATGCTAATTACCTTTTAATGTCTTTAAAGAGCATTTTTTTTATAGATTTGCAGAAAGCCTTAAGTACAAATATGTGATAACAAATACAATGGATTTGTGATTCTTTATACCTCCAAATGCAGATCAAGAGCAAAACTAACACAAGCAACAATAATTCCTTTCACTACGGAAAAGCCCAGCAGTAACTTCTATATAAAAGCAAGTATGAGCCTTCAGCACAGGAGTCTTGGATTCACTGCCACTAAATGACAGGGCATGCCAGATTTACCTCTTCCAATGGTGGGGGCAGGGAGCACTCCAGCCCTGGTCTCCTCGCTCACCTTCTTGCCTCTACCTATGTCAGCAGTGTTGGCGTGGGTGGCCCAAAACAATATGCACATGAATTAAATCTTCACTAGCAGCAGAAGGGAGAGAGCCTTGTGAGAGTCCAAATTGCTTTAATCTTTTCTGGGGAATATGAAGAGTTAAGAGTTTTAACCAGTCTGGCCTCTAAAATAAAAACACTTCAAGACTCAGCTCTACAGTGCTAATTGATTGATGCCATTTGTAAGTAATCTAATAATGTTGAATAATTCATTTTTAAAATGACAGGTGTTGAAAATACAGAGCTGCACAAACTGTGTC